TGTCTGACTTTCACAGACACCCCCTCTCTCTTCTGCTTACTCCAGAAACTACCTCAGTGACCAGGCCTTGTGGACAAAGTGCCTGGAGCCTCCTGACGTCGTACCCTGGAACCTGACCCTGTTCTCCATCCTGCTGGTCATCGGGGGGGTGCAGATTGTGCTGTGTGCCATCCAGGTGGTCAACGGCCTGCTGGGCACACTCTGCGGGGACTGCCAGTGCTGCGGCTGCTGCGGGGTGAGGGCCCGGGCTGGGGCGAGGGCCTGCTCTGCACTCAGGGGCACGGGGGGGGGGGGCCTGCCCGGGCCAGGGGGAGTCCGGGTGGCCATCCACGGCAGTCCTGGACTGGGATGAGGGTACCGCAGGCCGGCAGCCATGCATCCTCCCTGCTCCTAGAAGCTCAGCCCGGGAGGCCTCTATCAAAGGGTCCAATCCCGCCTCCATCTGTTATTCATTCTGGCTTCCAACAGAGCAGTTCTCTGTGTCACTCACCAAAGTTATGTTTAATAACGAAATAGGCAAAGCAAAATAGCCAAAGCCCAGGTGAGTCACCAGTGAAAGACCCAGAACAGCCTGGTCTGGAAACGGCTGCACAGGCAGCACTGTGGGCACGCTGGCCGGGGAGGGAGGAGCAGAGGCCCCAGACTGAACTTGCCTTCCCGGACTCCAGGGTGAAGGACCTGTGTAACCCGGGCGAGCTGCTGGCCCCGACACCCAGCGCGGGAAGGATGAAGGACAGACAGACCCGACGTCCCCGCTCTCGGCCGCCAGCCCCTGCCGTCTCCTCACCGGCAAAGCCGGGGGCTCCTCGTTCCCAAACCGCTTGGCTGCAGATAGAAGCTCATTGAACCACTCAGTGAACTTGAACTTGGTTATGTGACCCTCAAACGACCCCCTTTTTTAATCTAGTAGGTTGAAAGCCTGCGTTTCTTGATGTATTTCCCTCCCGAAGGTGTGAAATGTGTGAACTCACCTTCGCAGTGCCCTGCTCCTTTACACAGGCAAATGTTTCTCTGATTCAGAGGAGCAGAGCATGTTAAATGAGAAGCCAGCTTGCTCCGGGTTTCTGGGGAAAGAGGAGATTGGTGGGTGTATCATAAATACTTTCTATGTGGCATCTTTTGAGCCGATGGAGTTCTTGTGAGCAGTGTTTTGAACTCGCTAGGGGTCCCTTGCCCACAGTAAATGAGAATCTGAACCCGCAGGTGAGTGAGTCCACGCAGCCTGCCTGTGGAGGAGGAGAGGAGATGACCTGGGTGCGGGACAGACCGCTCCTTTCACCAGGCACAAAAGTTGACTGGGAACATAATTCTGCAGCCTTCTTCTCAGAGCTAAGGCACGGCGTATTTGGTTCTACACGTTAGACATATTTGGCTTTGTGAGCCAGACATCAACATGAGGCCAAACCATTTGGCTGGCTGGGCACTGTGACCCTAGCCATTCAGCAGGCTGAGATCCAAGGATTGCAGTACGAGGCCAGCACAGGCAGGAAAGTCCACGAGCTGGAAGTAGAGCCATGGTTCAAGTGGTAGAGCAATAGCCTTGAGCAAAAAGCTCAGGAACAGTGCCCAGGCCCTGAGTTCAACCTCTGTCTGGCAAGAAAAAAGAAGGTGGATTTGGGTTCATAGCTCCACACACTGGCTCTGCGGTCCCAGAGAAGTGGTTTTCTAATCCTCACTGGTGAGACAACCGTCCGGGACACAGCAGCCAGCTTCCGTGCACATCCAGCCCGGCCGCCGCTGGCGGGACCCGGGGCGGCGGAGGAGGGTACCGAGGCAGCTTCCACACCAAGCCCTGCGGGGCCTGCTCTCTCAGCCAGAGGGGCTGTGCAGAGGGCTCCTTGACCTCCCCCAAAATCAACGCCATCTGAAGATGCCAGTAAAGCCAGATACCCCGGGGACGCTACAACAGTGGCCACAGTTAACTTTCTCCGTTGGAGAGCCAAAGATCCCACAGATACTGCAGTCCAGAAAGGAGAAAAGGGGGGAGGGAGGGAGCGAGGAGGGAGGGAGCGGAGGGAAGGGAGGCAGGGAGGGAAGAGGGAGAGAGGGAGAACTCACTCTCTGGAGAATGAGGGTGTAACCCCCCCCCCCCCCCCCCCCCGCTGGCCGGGGCCCACGCCTCTCCTCAGATGTGTGAGGTTTTCGGAGAAGGTACCTCTTGGTGGCTTCTCCGAATGGAGGGGTCAGAGCCTGGGGTGCACGGGGCGGCAGCCTGCAGGTCACCCCAAACCCTCAGGACGAGAGCACAGACAGGCCACAAGGCTCAGGGAAACCCAATTGCATTTATTTTCTTGTACAGAATTGGAAAAGTCACACCCGCCCCAGACGCCAGGCAACAAGGCTGCCCTGCCCTGGGCAGGCCCAGCACTCGGGATTTCAAGTAAACACACCTGTGACTGCCCAGTGTAGAAGCAGGTTTTCTGGAAAGTTCTATCCCATAAGTAATGTCACCTGAGGGAGACTGTCGACCACCCGTTCTTGGGTTTCTCCTGAAAGTGCTAGGTGTGCCGGAGGCTGGCTGCGTCTCCCCTCGGAGCCACCGTCTGCCGACAGCCAGCTTTCCACACACGGGCGCGGGAGCTCCGACTGCTCCATGCGCGGTAAAGCCAATGGCCCCGGTGCTAGCCAGGCCACGCACAACCTCCAATTTAACAGACTTGCAAATGGGTTTTGACCATTTATTTGCTTCCAGAAAATGGCTTCTATCAAAGGAAACAAAAAGCCTTAAAAAAAAAATCTCTGACACTAGTATTTTTTTTCAATTTCACCTTCTCAGTAAGCTTTTTCTATGGCGAAAGTTTTCTGGTGTGAGAATGTGAAGTTTATGGATTGGTTTATTAGGACTAGGAGAAAAAGACTCCATATCCTACGGCTGTCCCGTAATAAGAAACGAGCATGAATAGCACCTTGGCAGGACTCGTGCAGGTGGCCAGCACTTAGAGCAGCCGCCAACGCCGCTCCTGAGCCTGGGGTGTGCTCAGCGGTGGGCTCGCGCTCAAGCCCAGCGTTGCACACACAAACGTGGCTCTTTACCATGCTTTAGCTCACACGTTCTTTTAACAAAGCCATATTTTATGGCTTTAAAAACAACAAAAATTATATCTGGCTTTTATCTATTAGTAAACAGTCAGGTCCACAATTTGTTCTGCAAAAATATTTATCATATCCACTAATAAATGTTCCAACTAATTCACTAAAAAATTATTCTAGTATCTTTCTAATGCCACAAGCTTATTAAAAAAGTACTTCTAAAACGTGGTGATATAAGTCATCAATGATTTTAACTAAAAAAAAAAAGAAAGGCGTCTTTCTTATACATTTGATAACCTGAAAATGAGCCTATAAAAATATTTTTTAAAAAAATACAGTAACACTGCTGAGTTTGGTTAGGTCCCTTGGCTTCCCTCTCTCCTTAGAACGAGTGTACACGCATTTGCAATTTCTGCTAAGGAAAGAAACTGAAAGAACAAGTGCTCCCTTTCATCGGAGCAGCCGCGTGAACGCCCACGGGTGCTTCGAGAGAGTCAGAGGGGTTTGGGGACACTGGGGGGTCCTCAGGAAAAGGTGGGTCCCTCGCCCCCCCCGCCCCCCCCCGCCCCCCCGCCCCCCCCCCCGCCCGAGGCCGTGGACGCGGGCCGTGTGCTCTCATGCCCACCTCCGCTGCATCTTGCTTTTGGGGCTCTGCCTGTCCCCTTCCCTGTCACTACCCCTCTCCCAGTCTCTGCTCAGCTTTCCTTCGCCACCTCTGACCTACATTTGCCACTGTCCGAACCACTCCAAACGCCCGCCGCCGTTAGTCCAGGTGGGGCGGGGGCCGGGCGTGGCTGCCCAGGCTTCTCAGAGGCCCGGGTCCCTAAGGCCCTCCCGACACAGATCCCACTCGCAGAGCACAGGACCCGCCACTCCCGACACAGATCCCACTCGCAGAGCACAGGACCCGCCACTCCCGACACAGATCCCACTCGCAGAGCACAGGACCCGCCACTCCCGACACAGATCCCACTCGCAGAGCACAGGACCCGCCACTCCCGACACAGATCCCACTCGCAGAGCACAGGACCCGCCACTGGGCGCCCAAGGGGCGGATGCCACCGCAGGCGGCAGGCAGTGCCAGGCACCCTCCGCCCAGGACGCCCGTGTCAGCGCGGGAAGGCTCTGCCGGCACGTGCCTGCGCACACTCGCACACACTTGCACATGCGCCGTGCTGCCGGGCCAGGTAAAATGCCTGCCCACGGACAGTGTGAGCACGGGGAGCCACCACAGCTTCAGGGGTGAACCGTCATCGGCCGGCCGTATGCCAGGCGCCCACTGGGGCTCGGCATGGCCCTGGCCTATCTGGAAGTTTCCAAGACAGAATTACAGGTGGTGCTGATGTGTAGAACCCTTGCGGCAGCCCTTTGTCTTCCAATACAGAATTAGAGTTCTTACAGAAGTGTCATCAAATGCTAAGCCATGCGTGGAAGGGAGGGAAATCCAAGTTGCAGTTTATAGAGGAGGTCGGGCTGCTGGGAGCCCCCGGTGGCCCGGTGCGCCGGGGGCTGGGCAGGAGGGGCGCGGCGCGGCCACGGTGGGCGGTGGCACGCAGGCTGTGGCACACGGAAGTACGGCAGAGCCAGCGCGTGCTCCAGGCAGGCTCCGCGTGGCAGGGTTTCCCTGCGGGGCCGTGATTTGTGAGGCTGGCGCTGGACAGCGTGGTTCAGGGAAGCACGCGCTCTCCTGTCGCCATGGCTCTGGGAGCCGTCGGTGAAGTCCGGTCTGGGCATGCCGTCTGCACCGAGCCGTAGGCCCAACTCACTGCCTGCGGTCAACTCTTACGGTCTGCAATCCATCGTAATGGGCGCGTGGCCCTCTGCTGCCCCACGCGAGGCTGGGCTGGAGAAGGCCCGGGCCTTGTCCAGGGGCTGCAGGCCTGACCTATGCTTCAGTGAAGAGGGGGTCGGCTGGACCTAGACCCCGGGAGCCCGGCCCTGGGGAACAGGGCGGCGGTGGCGCCGCAGACCAGCTCTGCTCCCCAAAGGGCCGGGCCAGCCCCTGGCCCACAGGGGCTCACAGCCAGGTCAGAAAGGGCTCACTCTTGCTCAGGGCGGACTCCACGTCGGTGAAGAGAGGAAGCAGGTCTTCGGATTCCAAAGTCCCCAGGTCCACATTGGTCCCCGGCAGGCAGTCAAGGAAGTCGGGGAAGCGGCTCTGCTGGGGCGTGGCGCTCATGGGCACCTGGCCTGCGCCCTCCCCTGGAACAGAGCAGGAGAGCCTCAGTCCCTGCCAGGGCCCCGGGAGCCCAGGCCCCCGTCCACGACTGTCGGGGTCAGTCGGGTCCTGAGCACAGCATGGAGAAGGGAGCCAAGACCACCAGGCTGGCTGTCTGGGAGGCAGAGGCCAGGGCCTGCAGCTTGAGGCCCAGACACAGAAGTGAAAGACTTCAACTCAGGGCTGGGAAGGTGGCTCAGTGTAGAGCGCTTGCCTTGCATGCCTGAGGCCCTGGGTTCGATTCCTCAGCACCACATAAGCAAAAAGAAAAAACCTGGAAGTGGCGCTGTGGCTCAAGTGGTAGAGCGCTAGCCTTGAGCTGAAGAGCTGAGGGACAGCGCCCAGGCCCAGAGTTCAGGCCCCACGACCAACCAAAAAAAAAAAAAAAAAAGACTTCAACTCAACCCATGGCAGGTGTGGCGGTTCCTGTTCCTCCTCCTCCCCCTCCTCCTCTTCCTCCTCCCTCCTCTTCCTCCTCTTCCTCCTCTTCCTCCTCCCTCCTCTTCTTCCTCCCTCCTCTTCCTCCTCGTCCCCCCTCCTCTTCCTCCTCTTCCTCCTCCCTCCTCTTCTTCCTCTCTCCTCTTCCTCCTCCTCCCTCCTCCTCCCTCCTCTTCTTCCTCCCTCCTCTTCCTCCTCCCTCCTCCTCCTCCCTCCTCTTCCTCCTCTTCCTCCTCCCTCCTCTTCTTCCTCCCCTCTCCTCCTCCTCCTCCTCTTCCTCCTCCCTCCTCTTCCTCCTCTTCCCTCCTCTTCCTCCTCCCTCCTCTTCCTCCTCCCTCCTCTTCCTCCTCTCTCCTCCTCCTCCCTCCTCTTCCTCCTCTTCCTCCTCTCTCCTCCTCCTCCCTCCTCTTCCTCCTCTCTCCTCCTCCTCCCTCCTCTCTCCTCCTCCCTCCTCTTCCTCCTCCCTCCTCTTCCTCCTCCTCCCTCCTCCTCTTCCCTCCCCTTCCTCTTCCTTCTTTCTCCTCCCGCCTCCTGCACTGAGCAAGCGCTCAAACCTATCCCTATAAAGAGGGTGTTTGCAGGAGCTCTGAGGAGTGCCCCTGTGGGTTAGAGTGGGGTGAGCCCGGGCACTGTGCGGAGGAGGGCAGGTCGCGGGCGCAGGCCTCACCTGTGTCCATCTCGTCCACGTTGCTCAGGAAGTCCTCGGGCGTGGTGGGCAAGCTGTAGCACCCCAGCCCCAGGCCGCTGTCGGTGCTCTGCTCCCGGGAGTGGTAGGGCCCGCTGCGGGAGAAGGGCAAGACGTCCATCCGTCAGTCATTACCAAAGTCACATGTCCAGGCGGGGAAGCCAGGAGACCTCTTCCTCCCTTTCAATTTGAAACACACACCCTTGTCCCATGGCCACTGACAGAACCGCCACTCCCAGCAGTGGGCACTGATCTCCTGTCCATCACAAATAACCTCTACACCAGAGCCTGCAGGGCAGGCCGCCATCTTCGGGTTTTGCTTTTTAACTTTTTAAGTAAAAAACAAAAGAACAGAAAATAACGCTGAGTCTCTATGGACACACAGGATGGGGAGTAAGAGGGCCTGCAGTCAGGCACAGGGCGGCAGGCTGGCAGCCGGCGTCTGGGAGGCTCGGGCAGGAGGCCTGGAAGCCTGAGGCCTCCCACAGAGCGCCCCGCCATGCCCGACCTCCTGACATCTGAATCTAAGGATGCTTTTAAAGGATAGATTAGTACCTCTGCTTTTCTGTTTTTCCTTCTGCCAATTCCCCCAACTTTCTCTCTGACTTTTCCCCTCGTCTCAAATCCCTCCCTTCTCCCAGTGTCACAAAGACAGTCGCAGTCTAACTGCAGAATGTGGAGAGCAGAAGGCGAGCTCCGGCCAGACGCCGGCTTACCTGCTGAGGAAAGGGTCAGCGTTGCTACTGCTGATGGACCTCAGGTCTGCGGTCATGGCGGGCGGGTTGACGGCCTGCGCAGCCACCATGGGCTCAGCCTCCACCGGGAGCTGTCTGCAGAGGGCTGCTTCCTGCCCAGGAAGAGGAAGAGTCAGCGTCACCATCCGGCCTGGCACACAGCCCTCTGCCAGAGAGCCTTCCGGGATACGAGGCACTTCCTATTTATTTCCAGGAAGCCACTGCGGTGGTCGATGCTCGAGGAAGCCCCGGGCACTGCCTACCCCACAGGGCGAGCGCCGGGCCAAGGCACAGGCCCAGCGCTGTCCCACCTCGTACAATGCCTGCGCCGCTCAGATCCAAGGCCCCTCCTGCCCAGGTTCTCAGCCCCCATCCAAAGCCAGCCAAGCCAGCCCGACTCCCCTGGACCAGCAGGGATACCCTGGCCCGTGCACTCAGACACCACTGGATCTGTGGCCGGCAGCCTTTAGGGTCCACGTTACATCTGGTGTGCGCCCCATAACACAGGTAGAACACACACGCCAGACGTTCGTCTTCAAAAGCCTCATCCATTGTTCTTCATGACCACATCGCTGACCTTGTGCTCCCTGGCTCCCCACAAAAGCCCGCAGAGGGGTGGGAGCGTGGCAGCACTCGATTTACAGCACACACCAGTCCTCCAGTCACCCCAAAACACAAGGCCGTGTCCACCAGTCACTCCAAACACAAGGCCGTGTCCACCAGTCACCCCAAACACCACACAAGGCCGTGTCCGCCAGTCACCCCAAACACCACACAAGGCCGTGTCCGCCAGTCACCCCAAAACACAAGGCCGTGTCCACCAGTCACCCCAAACCCCACACAAGGCCATGTCCACCAGTCACCCCAAAACACAAGGCTGTGTCTACCAGTCACCCCAAAACACAAGGCCGTGTCCGCCAGTCACCCCAAAACACAAGGCCGTGTCCACCAGTCACCCCAAACACCACACAAGGCCGTGTCCACCAGTCACCCCAAACACCACACAAGGCCGTGTCCACCAGTCACCCCAAACACCACACAAGTTCATTCCTGCCAGTTACCCCAAAACACAAGGCTGTGTCTGCCAGTCACCCCAAAACACAAGGCCGTGTCCACCAGTCACCCCAAAACACAAGGCCATGTCCGCCAGTCACCCCAAAACACCACACAAGTTCATGTCCACCAGTCACCCCAAACACCACACAAGGGAAACACGTTCCTGGCCGTGGAGCCACGAGGGACACGAACAGGCCATCGTCTCCGCCTGCGCCACCTCCCTCCAAACGTTTGTCAGGACAGAAACCCGCCGCGGGCGTGCCTCTGTGGGCTCGGGACGGCACGGGGCGCCAGCTGGCCCGCCGTCCCAGGCGCGAGGGGCGGGTGAGGGAGGGAGGGAGGGCGCGGGCTGCCAGGACGGCCGGCCCTGCCGTCTGGCCACGGAGGCCAGGCTCGGTCAGCGCGCTTGTCTGCTCTGCGTTCTCCAAGCCCCCAGCCTTCATTAAGGATGGAGCAAACGTGGGTCTCCAGACCCCGGGGGAGGCCTGGGAGGAGCCAAGCCCTCGTCGTGGTCACCAGCCGCAAGTCCATGAGGCGGCATCTTCCTGGCCCCGGTCCCCCCACGCCCCCCTCCCCAGCAGCTTTCTGCTTCCGTGAACCAACACACGCGTCCTCCAGACCAGTCCACAGACCTCGCCTCCCGGACACCAGCAGCAGAAATAACACCAGCCACGCCACCCCCCCAAACCGCACACACACATGTGTGCACGCTGCAACGCACACGCCCTCCTGTGCACACACACGTGTGCGCTCGGACACACACATATACTCATGAGTGCATTGCGTACAGATGTACGCACGCACAATCTGTACAAGCCACTGTGCACACACACGCACACACACGCAGCGGCTCCCTTGGGCAGACGCGGAGACCCTATGTGCATGTGCACACATACTTGTGCAAGCCACTGTGCACACACGCCGCATACACACAAGCCGCAGTAGACTTGGACAGCCTTTTCTATGCACATGCATGTGTGTACACACTTGTGCAGGCCACTATGTGAACACACAGGCTGCACACGCACACAAAGCAGCACAGTCTTGGGTGGACACAGATAGCCTTCCCCTCTTCTCTGCAGTGTGGGGCCTGGGACCACACTGCACACGTGCACACGCACACACACGCACACACACACCAGCGCAGTAGACGTGGACAGCCTTTTCCCCGCTCTGTGGTGTGGGACTGGGACCACGCTGCGCACACACGCACACACACACACACACACACATGCACTCACGCACGCACATGCACAGGCACACCAGCATAGCCCTGAGTGGATGTGGACAGCCTTGTCCCTGCTCTGTGGTGGACTGGGGCCATGCTGCACAAGACACCCTATCCCACAGCCTCCAGGATGGCCCAGAGGTGAACTCTTGTCATTTCTGTCCTACAAACCATCCACAGTACCTACGTGTGCCCCATGCCCCCTGCAGGAAGCAGGGGTGGGAGGAGGAGAAATACAGGGGCCACACACACTCACCAATGTTCACTGAGATACAAAACCAAACAAACCTCAATGCCACCGTAACCCTGCCTACAATGCACGCCACTCACAAGATAGAGACGTTAGTCCAGGTGGAAATGCTATCCAAAACAGACAACAATAACACAACTGCTTCCTGCCAAGAAACATGATCATGGCATCTAAAAGCAGCACGGACAACTGTTACCCTTAAATAACTGCGCAGGCCCGAGCCTAGGCTCCGGGGGAAGGCCCAGCTGTGCCCACCTGGGCAGGCCAGCTCAAGACAACGGACAAGAACCACTCAGGCCTCCTCCTTTTACTTCCAGAGACGGTCTCTAAGATGCGACTGCTGTTCACCAGGCACCTTTCTTCCTGTGCTGGGGATGGAGCCCGGGGCCTGCGAGGAGCTGTGCCCCCCCCCCCCCCTCACACTCAGCCTCTGCATCCGACGCCTAGCAGTCCTCTCCTGAGAAAGCCACGTGGGAACCGTTAACAGTCCACACATCTGGCTTTACAAGGCTAAGTCGAAACAACGATAGAACAAACCAAAACCTTTCTCCCCAAAATGTAGCTGGAGAAGGTGCAGACCTGCAAGCATGCGTGCGACAGGGAAGGGAGGGTGCTCCCCTCCGCAGACCCAGCCACCAGTGAGGCGCGGCGCTGGCTCCAGTTCTCAGTTCTGCCTTGGCTCCAGGCTGCTGAGATGGAAGGTGTGCACCACCAGGCTCCTCTCATTCGCTCCCGGAATGAGCCCCTGGGCAGCGTCTGTCTGCCTAGTGAACGGTCCAGCCAGGTGTGGCAAAGTACGCCTGTAATCCCAGGACTTGGGAGATGAGGCAGGAGGACCAGACCAGCCCGGCTACACGGCAAGACTCTACTTTATCTGTCTGCTTACCTTGTTTATTATTTTACCCAAGAATGCCCAACGGCGCAGTGCAGGACTGCGCCTTATCCAAGTCCCTTCCTCCCTCACCCCCTCCACATTCCCTTTTCTGTCATCTACACTGGAGCAGAGGAGGTGGCTGACACCATCTCTGTGAGAGACTCCGCCATCTTCCCCCCTAGGACGGGGTGGGGGTGGACATGGCTCCTGGGCGGTGTGCGGGGCTAGGCCTCACTGCGACTCTCTGCCCACACCCTCTCCCCAGACACACGGGGCCCCAGTGGTCTGTTCACCTCAGGCCTCCATGGCGGGCCTCCACCCAACACACTCCCACAGTCAACCGGCAGGGAGGAAGGGCTGTCCAGCTGAGCCCTCTCCTGATCCCTGGCTCTCGAAGTTGTTCGGTATAACCAACGCCACTACGTCTGGGGTCATTTGTGGCCACACAGCGTGGAACCTGCTCTTTCTCCCCACTCTCTCCTGCCTGGGCTTGGACGCGCGCACACATTGTAGTACACTGACACACTGTGACACCCACTCGTGGATGGAGCCGCATAGCTGATGTGCACACAGCCTCTTGCACTAGGTGAGGCTCTCAGGGAGGCCGAGGGCCCCATAGGGCCTGCTGCCCAGCCAAGCCGTCCGCCCAGCAGTGACTGCTGCCCGCTGTACCTGCCGCATGAGCTCCTCCTGCCGCATCCGAATCCTCTCCCTCTCCATCTGGATCCTCTGGAGCCGCAGCTTTTGCTGCTGCTGCTGCTGGGTGGTCAGCGCAGGGGGCACGGGCACCAGCCCCGCGGAGGGGTTCTGCTGGCCCAGGGCACCGGGCGCCATCGGCGGCTGGTGTTGGGAGGTCATCACTAGAGAGAGAAGAGGAGATCAGTGCCCGGGCTCCAGGTTATCATCAGTGAGAGGTCGTGATGTCCCCTTAGCCCACGATGAGGTCACGGATGAAGTCAGCTTCTTGCTTCCCATCTGACCACAGAAGGGCATTCCTGGCTCAGCTAATGCTGGGCTTTTGCGCTCCATTAAAAATCTCAGTGGTGGTGCGCACTTCAAGTCAGAGAAGCCCTCAGGCACGCGGTCACCCCTCTGGAGGATTTCTTCCGGGGAACTGGGTGAGGCAGGCAGGCCCCTGATTACCATGCAGTGGGTATGCAGGAGCTCTAGGACAGACAGGCGAGTGGACAACACTGTGCAAAACACATACAGAAACACTTCCTGAGTGCTTTATTTAAAAGGATCCCGGAAGAGGCTGAGCCAGACTCACAAATGAATGCCTAACAGAAAAGGTTTGGTTTTTTCCCAAGGGAAAGACAGATGAAAAAAATGATACAAAGCCAGGCACCGGTGGCTCACGCTTGTCATCCTAACTACTCAGGCAGCTGAGATCTGAGGATAAGGGTTCAAAGACTGCCCGGGCAGGAGAGTCCATGAGACTCTTATCTCTGATAAACCACCAAGGAAAGGCAGAAGTGGAGCTGTGGCTCAAGTGGTAGAGCGCTAGCCTTGACCACGAAAGCTCAAGAGACAGTGCTCGGGCCCTGAATTCAAGCCCTTGAACTGGTGCACATGTGCACGCGTGTGCATGCACACACACACACACACACACACACACACACACACACACAATGTTAAACCCATCTGTGATTGGACAGAGGAATTACAAGTTGGTTTGTTTTTTTTTTTTTGGGGGGGGGGGGGTCTGGTCGTGGGGTCTGAACTCTGGGCCTGGGCACTGTTCCTCAGCTCTTCAGCTCAAGGCTAGCGCTCTACCACTTGAGCCACAGCGCCACCTCCGGCTTTTTTCTTTTTGCTTATGTGGTGCTGAGGAATGGAACCCAGGGCCTCAGGCATGCAAGGCGAGTGCTCTGCCACTGAGCCACCTTCCCAGCCCGAATTACAAGTATTTTAAACACTGAAGACGGGGGAAAAAGAAAGAGCAGCCCCAACTGGTGCTACGGTAGCTCGCCCAGCTTGGGAGAGCAACTTGAAGCCAGGGGCAGGAGGCCAGCTCTGCGCACACCTGCTCCCTCAGAGAAGAGTTCACACAACCCACCTCAGGCTACAAGAAAGAGCACAGTGGTAGTTCCCAGCACTAAACGGGATCTTACGTTTTCTGACATAACCACTGCAGGCACAGAAGATGGCCAGTGTTTTTATTACCTAAAATCTTCAGGTCAGAAAGGAGGCTGGGGAGCTGGGAAGGTGGCTCAGTGGTAGAGCACGTGCCTTGCATGCCTGAGGCCCTGGGTTCAATTCCTCAGCACCACATAAGCTGTGGCTCAAGTGGTAGAGCGCTAGCCTTGAGCTGAAGAGCTGAGGGACAGCGCCCAGGCCCAGAGTTCAAGCCCCATGACCGACCAAAAAAAAAAGAAAGAAAGAAAGGAGGCTGGAAAAGCACTGGGTGATAATCCTGGTTTTTATTTTTGATTGCTTATTTTCCTTTCCTGGGGCTTGAACTCGAGGTCCTGGGTGCTGACCTGACATTTTATTTGTTTAGTATGCATGCATGCATGCATGTATTGCTCAAAGCCAGTGCTCTATACTTGAGCTGCTCGGCTGTCACTGAGCCCTGCCTGTGTCGACACGGGACAGAAGAAAAGCCGCAGACCCCTCCACTCCCTCTTCTCCTCTCCCCGCTCTCTAACCCTCCTGTCTTGTCTGCCTCTCAGCTCAGCCAACAGCAACCCAATTGTTTCTCTTATTTCCCAGAAACTGTATTAGCCTTCCAACAAGGTCAGAGGAAAAGTAAAAGCAGCTTTTCACTTGAGGGCACATTTGCTTCCAAAAATCTGTAAAGTATTAAACCAAGAAGTGGCCAGGCCCCAACTCCACACCGATGCCCTTGTTCCATTCAGGGTAAGGGGCCTCTGGACCAGGGTCAGTCATGAGGCCCTGGCTCCAGGCTCTGGGCTAAGCCACAGTTGGCCTCGCCTTCCTGGCTAGTCTGCTTCAGTTACAACCGCTTCCACATGCCCCAAGGTGTGGTGTAGCCTGGGCGCTCGGGTGCCCCGAGCCCACCAGCTGTAGGCAGGTCCAGGGTGTGGGGCTGGGTGCCCTGCCCCGCTGGCTTGGGGCTTGTGACAGGACCTGCATTCATTTCCAGGACACCCTGAGCACCGGGAAATGACTTGGCACGTCAGAAATGTGAGCATCTGGAGAACTCTGCTGAGGACGAAAACCCCACATTGCTGGGCTGCAGGCACACCCCACCCACAGCCCATGGACACAGGAGACTCAGACATTCCCGCTGTCTGGGCTGAGGCGGCCAGAAGCTGCAATCCTACCTACTCAGGAAGCAGAGATCTGAGGATCACAGCTCAAAGCCAGCCCAGGGAGGGAAAGTCTCTGAGACTTACCGCCGATTAAAGGGACGAAAGTGGAGCTGTGGCTCAAATCATAGAGCACCAGCCTTGCAAAAAACAGGTCAAACCCCAGTACACACACATACACACGGAGCCAGAGAAATCTGGGGTGGGGGACCTCACGCCCCTCTGGCTTCGAGTTCTCCAGACCCCTGTGCTGTAACAGAGCCTCCCTTTCCTGCAGACAGCAGCCCAGTGTGGGCCTCCAGGGATTCATCAGCCTGGCAGGACGCCCCAACTTGGGGTAGCAGACACTGGTGTTGGGCTGTGGTTCTAGAATCGCCTGCCGCAGGCAGTGTGGAATTTAACCCCTCGCCAGCAGTCCCGGCCAGCCTATCTCCAGACAATAGGTACACTTTTGTCCCGGCAGGAAATGGAAACTCTGATTCATGCGTTTATTTTCACTAGCTGGAGAAGGTTTGTGGAGCTTTTTTATTGGTCGGCTCTGCAGGGAAGATGAGGCGCAGCTGGGCTGGGCAGGCAGAGGAGAATGCCGGCCCGGGCGCAGCGCTGGCCTGCGTCTGCCCCAGGCTGGGCACCTCAGTAAACATACAGGAGACAGCCCTGAGGCCCAGACACAGACCAGCAACACACATGGAAAACTACTGGCCAGCTCTGAGGACTCGTAGAAACGTGAGCTAGAGGAGCCCTGTTCCCAGCCAGGCCATGTGCAGAACCAAAAACAACAATCCTAAACAGGAAATGGACCCAGGCGGCAGGGCTGGGCGATCTGGTCTTCAGAAAAGTCCTATGACAAAGCAGCAAAGGCACCCAGAGGCCTCCAGACAGCACACTGGGCACCGGGGGCCACCATGCTGGGGACCCCCACCCCATGGGGAGAGAACCCTACTGAATGCAGGCATCGCGGCCTCAGACAAGAGCGGGCCAGGGAGAGTGTCTGTCTTGATATTTGAAATAGGAGGCGGTCTGAAGCAGCTATGGGAATGTCTTGTGAGCCAGGCCGTAACCAGCCACTCTCACACTTCCTCCTTCCTCCTTCCTTTTCCTCCTTCAACCTCACTTCTTTCCAGCTCTGCAGACATTTAAGCCTTGGCAAAGTACAAAACTCACTCTTCACTGGTATCTGAGAAATATAAACTGAAAAGGAAAAGGACAAAAAATAATAAGGAACAAAATGCAGAACACATACTGGAAGCAAAATAATTTCCAATGAAACTTCCTTTTAAGGCTTAGTGAAAACATGTGGAAACAGACAGAGGGGGCTGGTGGGAAAGGGAGGGCCTGATTAAAAATACACTTCCCATGCCAGGTGCCAGTGGCTCACGCCTGTCATCCCAGCTACACAGGAGGCTGAGATCTGAGGATCAAGACTCAGAGGCAGCCCAGGCAGAAATGTCCACAAGACTCCATTTCCAATCAACCAGTCAAACAGCAAGCTGGAGGCATGGCTCAGATGGTAGAGCACCAGCTCTCTCTCCTTTTTCTGTATAGCATTATCTTTATCTACAGTGAGTAAAATAACAATGATATGTTTGGTTTTGGTGTTTGGGGACAGCGGCCTAGGCTGGCCTTGAACTCACAAGCCTCCTGCCTCAGCCCCCTGGTGGCAGGCATGCAGCACACCATACAGGAGAGAAGAGGCCGTCCAGACCCAGTGCCGGCTCGCTGCTCACACTGCGTTTAGACTCATCTTCTGGGTTTGCGTCCGGCTCGCTGCTCACACTGCGCTTAGACTCATTTTCTGCGTTTGCACTCCGGCTCGCTGCTCACACTGCGTTTAGACTCATTTTCTGGGTTTGCGTCCGGCTCGCTGCTCACACTGCGTTTAGACTCATTTTCTGGGTTTGCGTCCGGCTCGCTGCTCACACTGCGTTTAGACTCATTTTCTGGGTTTGCGTCCGGCTCGCTGCTCACACTGCGTTTAGACTCATTTCCCTGCCTTGCTCCCAGCCTCCTGGCCTCCTGTGCGGGTGTGGGCCGGTGTCGTCGTCGTGGACAGTGGTTCAGAGTGAGGCCTGGGGAGCAGCTGTCCTGGCCACAGCAGCTGCACAGCCCCCGGGGAGTAAATGTAGACTCCAGAAGGGAAGAAGGAATTGGTCAGCTGACGCGGGCAGGGCACACAGGGGCACAGGGGCAGGAGTGACTGCCCCGCCCACCCCACCCCTCCACTTTGAGCTGTGAACAGGGCCAGGTGCTAGGCAGGGCCGCCCCTGGCCAGCATGACCAGAGAGGGGCTCACAGTGACACATTCTCGCCACAACTCCCCTCAGAGCCCAAGACCGGCCTCCTTTACAGATAAAGGGGCACAACCAACCGGGAGCTGGTCTCCCCTGCCCTCCTGAGGGCAGGGCAGGGCTCTGCTCAGGGGCAGGAGGGCAGGGGCTTGCTTCTGTGAAGGTGTTCAGGGAGTTGGCTCTGTCCCGCAGGCAGAGTGGAGACAGGTGCGTTATGACCCAGGAACCCTCCACAGACCACCAGTAGCTGACTGATGGAGGTGCAGAACTCTGTGAGCCGTGGGGACACCATTCTCTAGGCCCCAAGGGGCACAGACCATGGCAACCCTGAGCCATCTTACTTGCTTTCGATAAAGTATTTTTAAGTGGCTTTAACTCCTAGAGGGAAAGGAGAAAATGTAGCAAACCCAGTTCAGGCAGGATTTTCCATCTTGTCTGAACATCACGCCACACATGTTTATAATTTAGGTACAGACACTCTGGGCTGTGAGTGTGTGTGTGCATACATGTGCGGGAGTGTGCACAGGTGTACATATGAGTGTGTGGACATGTGTGTGCATGTGCATTTAAAATACTAGCTGCAAAAAAGGTAAAAACACTACGGGCTGCACTCTGCTGGAGTCCTGAGGGCTGGCAAGGACCGGCAGTCTGGTGAAGTCGTTCGGTCTGGAGAACTCAGGCCAAGAAAGAGCTGCACCGGTGTGTGCCAGGGCCGGGCGCCCATGCCAGAGAGCAAGGTCAACAACAAACAACTGCTGTCTCTTTCTCCAGGGCAGCAAGGTGTCTGAGGAGGCTGTGTGGTCTCCACCTAGAGCACGGCGCCTGGGCGGGCTGCACTCACGCCTGGGGGGGCTGGCGAGGGACAACAGAACAAGGACCGAGGTGGTAAACTGGGTCACAGCTGTGGGCACCCGACCAGCCACACTGGGGAACACCCAAACCCCTGCTCTGTCAGTGCCCTCCACATTGAGGGTGAGGAGCTTAAATATCTAGCCAAGAAAGGGCGAGCCCCAGGGAAACCCAGTTCTGATTCTGTGGACCATTATCCAAAATGGTCTCCCTTTCCAGAAAAGTCTGTAACATTCTAGCTCCAAGATAACCAGCAAAGAAGCCAGGCTGAAGGCATGACTCAAGTGGTAGAGAGTCAACCCCTGATCAAGAAAGGTGAGAGGCCCTGACTTCAAGCCACTGGATGAAGCGCACACACGTGCATGTGTGTGCACATCCATGCATACAAACATGCATGCACACCTGTATGTGCACGTGCGTGCACGCACACACACACACACACCTGTCAGCCCCTGAGTGACATCATTAGGGACACAGATCATCTCTCTTCTACGCTTCCGACCCGGGGGTGTTTGCAGGTTTGCACTCGAGATCAACCATCTATCTACTCAGACAAAACAGAGCTGTGTAAAACCCAACTTGGCAAACACAAAACTAAAAAATCCCAGTTGACACACTACAGCAATCTGGAGGTGATTATCTGAACTAAAGTGGGGAAAAAGGTTTTCTGTTTGTCAGTTTGGTTTGGGTGTTTTTTTTTTTGCAATTTTATACTGCTGAGTCCATTTTGTTTCCACTAGATTTTTTAAAATATGGTGAAGCTAAACAGCAAATCTCTTTTCACAAAGTGATGGCTTCAGGCCTTGCAACCGGGTTTTACAAGACACACTTCAGAAATGCACCTAAACCCTCAGACACAGCAAGGTGCTTTGTGCACCTTGGGGAGTCTTGGGGCAGGGGAGCTGATGCATTTCCACCGGGGCCACCACCCTCATTGAAAGCAATGCAGGGCATTCCTAGCTCAGAGCACTACACAATCCAACCAGCCCCAAACAAACTTCTTTCTCTCTTGAAATCCCTTAAGAACAATGAAACTGTCCTCGATTCCCTGCTCTGTGTGGAGAAACTGAGGCATGATGTGACTCTTGACAGGGTCACGGAGCTAGTAACCGGCAGTCAAGATGGAAAGACTGGAGTCCAATTCCCAAGTCTCGCTGTCTCACCTGCAGAGAGTTAAGGACGCGGGCAGAAGGTTTGTTTCCGCTGCGCAGTCACCGCTACGCTCTGGATCTGACTGCAGAGCACCGCCACCGAGTGAGCGCTATGAAGGTGCTGATCCTATCCCCTCCTGCCCAGAAGTCACCCGCCTCAAGGGCACAGACAACTTCCTTTCTCCTCTCCATGGAAAAGAACTGAAGTTCCAAATTTAAGAATTCAAAGAGGAAAAGGATCAGCACTTGGTATTTTTAAACTGGTAATAGGGCTAACATGAACCGACATTCGCAGACCACCAGGACGGAGCTCTCTGCTGGTGGCTGGCATTCTAGCCTCCTCCTGCTCCTCCTCCTGCGCTCCGACCTCACGAGTGATCCTCTGCCCTCCAGCAGTGCTCCCTCCAATGGGCAAACATTCAGATATCGCTGGAAGAATCCAGAATGTTCTTATGAAACTCACTGAGAAACAAAGGTACTTAATCCAACAATAATCATGTTTCAGAATGTCTGGGTTGCATTCTGTAGGCGGCTCCTAGTGAGACTGGGCTGTGTGTGCGCGCGCGCGTGTGTGTGTGTGTGCATGTGTTATGTGTGTTACGCTGTGTGTGTGCATGCGTGTGTCTACCTGGGCTGGGAGAGGACGGGCCACCCAAGTTATCTGTTCTTGGATGGAGGGCGAGCTTGATTACCCAGGCTCTTCCTGGATGAGCTCAGCCCACTTGAGTTGAAGCTGGCTTTGGCTAAGCAAAGGCAGAGAGAGGCAGGAGTCTGAGAATAAGGCCTCCCTCCACGTTTGTGTCCTGTCATTCCTGAAGAGCACCAGGATGTTCCTTCACTCCCCAGAGTAGCCCTGCAGTGTCTGGTGGTCCGAGCTGAAGGAGAGGCCATGTGGGAACAGCAGCTCTTTCATAAAACTTTCAATCAGCTCACTGATTCTTAGCCCTGTGTGGGGTGGGGAAGCCCCACAACTCTCCAGGGCCTCTCGGAGCATTCCAAGGAGAGGCCGGGAGCGGGGCCCTCTCTAAAGCGCTACAGAAGGCACTGACGGATTGTGGACTAGATTGAGGTCAGAACTGACAGGGTCCATACTGCAGCAGGGTGGCCCACAAGCTGCACGTCTGGGGGCCCCGTCTCCACAACGGGATTCTGCTACTCCTCGTGGGGAGCGAGGTCGGTCTGAACACAACTACCCAGAGCCCCCCCTCCCCCACTTGCGCTGGTCTGGCTGAAGATGCAGACTATGGTCACTGCCAGACATTGACCTGGAGGACGCCAGAGCCCAAGAAGAGCTGGCTGAGAGGCAGCGGGCACTGGGGCTGAGGCGAGCACTGTGGGCACTGGCAGTCACGGACGGCCCCGTGGGGTGTGCCTGCCCCGGGGGGGGGGAGCGGGGTCAAGACTTACCCAAGTTGGGCTGGGACGTGGCCATGGGCCTCTGTGGCACTGGTGTGGAGGCTGGGGCTGCGTGTAGCGACGCATGGCTCAGGGGGTGACTTACGCTCTTCCGAGGGTCTTGCCATGTGGTGATCTTCTCTATGTGGCTGGAGGAGAGAGCAGCTCATTACTTTGATTCATTACTTCTAAGGGAGGCTCCTCACCCTCACCACGTCCAGGCTCACTCCCTCCCACCTGCTCGTGCACAGCGGGGGACACCTGCACTGGGCCCCATCCAGGGACGCCGTGCCCCTCTGCTCACAGGCTGGCTGTGAGCCTCCCCCTCAGCTGTCAGCCTCCTGCTTGGCAGCTTGGGTGGAGCAGCACTCCCCAGCCCCAGGGGAGGCTTTGACAGTCACCCTCTCCCCAGAAGGCTCCGGCCCCAGACCTGCCTGCTCCCCCTGTCTTGCTGAGGGACAAGGCTGACCGCCAGGCTCTCTGGGAATACTCAGCTGGAAAGGTTGCAGGAAAGGGCTCTCCCCTGGATGAATTCCCTTTAGCAAAGGCGTTCAGAAAGCCACCTCTCTTGGGGTAAATTCTGTGGGGGTTGAAGGGCCCTGCTCTCCCCCTCCCCCTGGTGAGTCCCCTCCCAGGCCTCCCATCCTGCCACACTGCCACCATTCCTGGTGACCTTTCCCCCAGGAGGTGGGGCCTCCACCCCCCCTCCAGGCCCAGAGCCCACGAACACCGGGGTCCCAGTGACCCTGTGCCTCAAGGTCGTGGTGGCCCAGGCTTCATTCTGCCCGAGCCAGTGAGGTCACCACAGTCCCTAGGGGACCAGCCTCTACCAAAACCACCGTCACCACGGCATTGGTCCAGCTCTGCCCTCCCTCCCAGGCCAGGCAACAAGGGGCTCACTGTCCAGGCCAGCTCCTAGTCCCTGAGGCCAGTATCTAGTCCTCCCCAAGCCGGCTCCTAGTCCCCCCCAGACAAGCTCCTAGTCCTCCAGACCAGCTCCTCATCCCCCAGACCAGCTCCTAGTCCCCCAGACCAGCTCCTAGTCCCCCAAACCAGCTCCAGTACCCCAGACCAGCTGCTAGTCCCCCAAACCAGCTCCTAGTCCCCCAGGCCAGCTCCTAGTCCCCCAGACCAGCTCCTAGTCCCCCGCAGGCCAGCTCCTAGTCCCCCAGGCCAGCTCCTAGCCCCCCAGACCAGCTCCTAGTCCCCCAGACCAGCTCCTAGTCCCCCAGGCCAGCTCCTAGTCCCCCAGGCCAGCTCCTAGCCCCCCAGACCAGCTCCTAGTCCCCCCCAGGCCAGCTGCTAGTCCCCCAGGCCAGCTCCTAGTCCCCCCCAAGCCAGCTGCTAGTCCCCCAGACCAGCTGCTAGTCCCCCAGGCCAGCTCCTAGTCCCCCAGACCAGCTCCTAGTCCCCCAGACCAGCTCCTAGTCCCCCGCAGGCCAGCTCCTAGTCCCCCGCAGGCCAGCTCCTAGTCCCCCAGACCAGCTCCTAGTCCCCCCCAGACCAGCTCCTAGTCCCCCCCAGGCCAGCTCCTAGTCCCCCCCAGGCCAGCTCCTAGTCCCCCAGACCAGCTCCTAGTCCCCCAGACCAGCTCCTAGTCCCCCGCAGGCCAGCTCCTAGTCCCCCAGACCAGCTCCTAGTCCCCCAGACCAGCTCCTAGTCCCCCCCAGACCAGCTCCTAGTCCCCCCCAGGCCAGCTCCTAGTCCCCCCCAGGCCAGCTCCTAGTCCCCCCCAGGCCAGCTCCTAGTCCCCCAGACCAGCTCCTAGTCCCTCAAACCAGCTCCTAGTCCCCCAGGCCAGCTCCTAGCCCCCCAGACCAGCTCCTAGTCCCCCCCAGGCCAGCTCCTAGTCCCCCAGGCCAGCTCCTAGTCCCCCAAGCCAGCTCCTAGTCCCCCAGACCAGCTCCTAGTCCCCCAGACCAGCTCCTAGCCCTCCAGGCCAGCTCCTAGTCCTCCAGACCAGCTCCTAGTCCCCCAGGCCAGCTCCTAGTCCCCCAGGCCAGCTCCTAGTCCTCCAGGCCAGCTCCTAGTCCCCCAGGCCAGCTCCTAGCCCCCCAGGCCAGCTCCTAGTCCCCCAGATCAACTCCTAGTCCCCCAGGCCAGCTCCTAGTCCCCCAGATCAACTCCTAGTCCCCCAGGCCAGCTCCTAGTCCCCCAGTTCTGCACTTGGGAGAAAAAGGAAACTAACGATTAGGTTAGTTCCTCCTCCTGAGGATGAAACAGGGCCCACATCACACCTCCCCACTCAGCAGAGATCAGTTTACCTATTAGGCCAGATGCACTGGGTAGGTATAGAAGTGAGAAATAATTTGTAAATATCAATCCCCCACCCTGACTAGCAACAGCACCACTAAAGACAAAGATGAAACCTCATCTACACAGAATGCACAGAATTCTTGTGGCTCAGGAAAAAGGCCTGGTGTATCTGGACAAATGTACCTCGTGTATGGAAGAAGCTAAGTTACACGTTCTGTATGGCAGAAGCTATAAACACAGAAATGACTGCAAGGGTTTCATTTTGGAGGCATTCAGAATTCCTAGTAGCAGAATGCTTGTTCCTACAGCCAAACACTTCATTTTGAAGTACAAGCGTCTTGTCCTTTTGCCTTCCACGTGTGTATGTGTGCGCACGCATGTGCACACGCACACACACGGGTCCTCATAACACAGAGGGCGTGAACCCGGGCCTCCTTGCTTGACCCCTGTGCTGCCCTCAGCCCCAGTCCCTCCTGCTTTCAGGGCTGCTCAGGTATGGACTCTCCAGGCACTAGCTCTCCTGGGCTGAGAGCTGGCCTCCCAGCTCTGCCTCCCCATTAAGTGAAGGGAACCTCAAGCCAGGCATCTACCAGAACAGGGGAGCTTCAGGTGACCCTAAAGCACAGGGAGCTGCCCCCTCCCACCATGGTATCTACAGGCTCAATCAAGGTACTGAAAACCCACCAGTGTTTAGGAAAAGGGACGGTTAAGATTCTGATTTACTAGTTTGGTGCCTTCTCAATGTTACAACGATGTCAGGTGTGGAGGATGTGTTGCTTAGGGCTTTCCTAAAGCCAACAGCTCTGCAACTTGCTTTTCATGAACTGTCCCCACCAGACCCCCTGAGGCTAAAAATGGAAAGGAAACAGATTTGGTGAGGTGGAGACATTCCCAGATAGGGCTTGCCACAGAAACTTGAGCTGTCAGCTGACCACGGATGCTATGTGGAGCTTTAATCCCATACCAGATGGCAAGAAGCCTTGCCCAAGACACACAGTGAAGTTTTGAAATTCCCCCCAATTAGGACGAGAACACACACATGGGAAATCAGATTCACTGTCCTTGTTGTATTTCAAAGGTAAAGAATAGCTTCGTTTCAATTTAACTGCACGTGTCAGCCATGCTCTGACTCAAGTCTCGGACTTGGGAAGAGCATGTCCTGTCGTACACCTGCTTTGCGTGTGCTGGAGTAACAACTCTGTTCTGCTCCATGTCTGCCAGTGGCACTTCACTCCCCTCACCAGCACCGGAGAAGGGTCTGCACAGAGCAGGTGCCCCACACATCCTTCTGGCCCCAGCACCTTTTTCCACGTAGCCCCTATCCCCCCCAAACCAGGCCAGCAGGACCCCAGAGCAACCCCCAGCCCACTGGCCTGGCCCTGTCCACATGACTGAAAACAAGTCTGCTGCCCCCACCCCGTCCGTGTTAATCCTGCCCTCCATTTGGAGCAGAAATGAAGGCCTGGCTCCCAGGAGAGCTACAGGTTTTATTGTATTTCCTTTTCTTTTTTGGCTGTACTGCGATCTGAACTCAAGTGCTTGCCAGTAATGTAATTATGACTCCTGACTTCTTTCACACTGGCTGTTTTTGAGATTTTGCTTTTTTTTTTGTCCAAGGTTCACACTTGGACAGTGACGCTCCTATTTGATGCTCCCAGGGTAGCTAGGGTGACCGACAGGTGACACTGCATCGGCTTTTCCCCGCAAACTTGTTTGTCCTGGCTGGCCTAGAACTGCCATCCTCCAGATCTCAGCCTCCCGAGTAGCTGGGGTGTCAAATACATGTCACCTGGCCAACTCTTGGTTGAGAAGGGATCTAGCAAACGTCCTGCCTGGAACAGCCTCCAACCTGTGTGTTCCAGTCTCCACTTCCGTGTGGCTAGGACTGTGGTGTGAACAGCTGGCCTGGCTTGGCTTATTGGCCTCCCTGCCTCCCAAGCTGCGCCCTGACCGGCTCCACTCCACCTGATAACTGCGTGGGAAGGAAGCCTCGGCGACACATTAGAGGGGCCTCCCCGCTATCCTACTGCACGACAACTAAAAAGTCAGGCCGCACCAACACGCTGCGGATGCGCCACCAGCAGCGTGTTCAGAGCTTCAGCCCAAAGCTGCGTTAGAGGTTGGCAGGCTTGTGCGGGCAGGAGCTGCCCCCTTCCCAGAGTTCACACAGGAGGGTGTGCCTGCCAGGTTCCAGGGGATCTGCGTCTCTGACGCGGGAGTAATAGTTCTTACAGAAACAGAGACGTGAGGCCCCGCAGGAGGGGCAAGAAGATGGAGCGTTTTTCTGGGGGCATGCTTCCGGCCTCCGCCATTCACTGGCCAGCCCAAAAATGTCAGCTGTCCCTGGAATTCCCAGTGAATGGCAGGGGTTGTATTTTTAACTACCGGGCTCTAATCCTCCACTTCCACCCCAGCCACACCAGGGGCCCCGCTTGCTTAAATAGCAGCCTCAGGAGAAGAGCAGGGCGAACCGGCTTCCGCCCGCCCGCGTGGCCAGCTGCGCGGCACTGCCTGGCCCAGCATCCATGTGGGGCCGGCTTTGCTGAAGCCACGGGCAGCAGGGACAGGCCAGCCGGCAGCACTGGGAGTAGACCTGGAGCAGGAATAGCTTAACATCCGTGCTTCCTGCCAGGGCTTACTCACCACCACTTTGTCCCCTGTGGCAGAGGGGACACCATGAATGTGAAAAGCCCTTTGGGAAACGGTGACTCACCCGGCCCCACGCCCTGCAGGGACCGCTACCCTCTGCTCCTCAACACCACCCAACTGGGGCCAGTCTGACTATCCTCTGAAAACCCAGCCAAGTGCTCAACCGCGTTTTCCTAATCTCTGTGAAAACTCGGAAAGTACCAGGACTTCTCCTGGCCTCAGGCTCCATCCCTAGCACAAGGAA